CAATCTCTAACAAAATAACATAAGTGGAGAGGAACTCAAATAAGTCTGAATACCATAATATAGATTGCAAAACTATTTATTTCCAAGTTGGCTTATACTGTACTAAAGAATGACTTTTTCCTGAAATAACAAGACCACTGTTGATTTTTAGTGATAAGAATGTCAAAAACATACAAAGGTTAAGACTTTTAACATATAATCATCTGCTTTCACGCCTGCAAGCAGAATAGTCAAAATTTGTGTCCCATTGACCAGTAAGTTCTTAGCTATAGTCACAAAACTACTCTGCAATGAGGATTTGGATCTAAACTCAAAAATTAAATTTTTAAATTGCCACTATTTTTTCTTAGAGTTTTAGTTTCACACACATACACACACAGACACAGAAAGTGTGCAAACAGCAATATTTTTGCTCCTAGAGATATGGCACATGGCCATTTTTAAAAATCATTCTTGTCATTGTCATTTCACCCATAACAGTACTTACTTGGGTGAAGTGCAAAAAAAACAAAACAAAAGAAAACAAAAAAAAAAAAAAACAGCTTCTTGTCTTTTCTATTTTTTCAAGAAGAGCATAGAAGAATCAATGACTATCCAGTAAAATTAAGAAAAAAAGCATGTTATAGCTTTCAATATTTTATCCTCTTAAGTAATTTTTCTATAAATCAAATGTGTAATCATGGCTATGGGGTGGTAATAGTTGTAGTGGTGTGTGTACGTGTGTTTAAAAAAATCGTGTTAGAATTGCAGATATTTAAAAGTTCTTCAACCATTTTTTAAGCCAGTTTATAAAATATGCATGGACTACAGCTATGTTTTCAAGTGCTGTCTCTTTCCTCTCTTATATATACTTTTTCCATTTTTATCTGCAGGATAATAATCTTGTGCATTTCACTTGCAGAAATTAAATCATCAAATTTTCCATACACCTAAATCAACCTAAAGTTAAAATGTCTGTACCACTGAACATAACCAAAAAGAGAGAGAGAGAGAGAGAGAGAGAGAGAGAGAGAGAGAGAGAGAGAAAAAGAAACTTGTTAGAGTATTTGACAGGAAAGATTCAAAATAATTGGTTTATTTATTTAAGCAGAATGGTGTTTTGGATAATG